ACCCCCTCATTATTGAAAACTAAACTATGGGCATCACCGATGGACCTCTTAGTCAATCGTTTTTTTCATGAGCTTGACGGATATAAGAAGAGACATAGGAATTCCATATGCTGCTAGAAGATAAAAATCTTCCATACTTGACTCATTGGGAACTAATATCACATCATCACCTAGGTATGATGCCCATATATTCTTGAACTTCACCGTCTCGCAGTAGTAGGCAGATGATGATTTCGTTTGATCTGTTCTATTCTCCTTGAATAAGCAAATAGAACTAAGCATTACAATTTTTGCTTCAATAGATTCGCTATGTCTTTTAATAAAGCAATGCGGATACCAACAGACGACATGTATAGACAGTAATCATACTAAATATGTCCGTTTTAATTGAATTGGTAATTAGTGTGTTGCTGTCAGTGCACGATAAATTTCGACCAACAGAACTCAGGAGGATACTATGATCCAACGCTCCAACTTTACCGACGAAACAACAATCGTATTTCTTTCCTAGGATGATGATTGCTCCCATGCTGAATGGGGTATATGTACATTCAATGACAAAAGTAAAGTGGGCATTAGAGCAATTCAGATTGAACACCAATGCACTGATGCTTGGTTACTCCCATCTTATAAAATGATTGAGAATGCGTTTTTTACATCAATGCATTCATACATCCAAAAAGTGGCATTTCTTGCGTACATTTAGAAAGGTCACCATGGAACTTGTTTTCATCACTAAAACCCCCTATCATACTCGCCATTAACAGCTTATTTTACTCTTTTATAGGGTCTTACTTCTATTGCAATGTGATTCGCTGATGCGCGTAAAACAGCCAGCATTCTTCCATCGCCCCATCATTCAGGAATTTGAGATATACAGTAACACTTGGATGAATTTGAGGCCCAAGCTCTGGCGTCAGAAATTGTTGTAAGCCATTGGAATAGCACCAAATAGTTGCTCTCAACCATGGGTCATTTTTTAACAGCTTTACTCAATTTTTGGGAGCCGAAATTTCATCACCTAGAATTGGCCCCAAACTATGGGGGCATACCTCATGAAAATCCTTGAAAATTCTTGTCTGGACATGGAAAGCAAACTCAATGATGTTGAGGCCTTTTGTCAGGATTTGTACATGGAGACGCCGATTGACATGGATTGCCTGAACGCCATGTTGGGACATATCAATCGCACTTTATCATCGGAAGATACTGCACAGATTATGGAGTCAATAGATTATGATGATATCTTGGATGACGCCCGTCCAACACCCAAAGAGAGTAGCCCAGATCTAGAAGGCATTGGCTATGAGATACGTTACCTCCTTGTGTCCCATCCAAGCTGTCGGGACATTATCCACCAGGTATGCAATGAAGCTATCCATTTGGCAAAGTTCCCAACACCTTGGCAGGCCTCGTGTACCGTCATTCTACACAAAAAAGGTGCCAAGAGTGACCTCGCCAACTATCGGCCCATCGCACGTATTGCAGCTGACTGCAACGTTTTTACCCGAATAATGAACTCTCGAGCTGTCCAAGTTGCTAACAAGATTATCACCCCCTACCAATGTGGTTTCCTGCCAGGTCGTTATAGTGATGACCATGGCATGTCCCTAAGTGCTTCTAGATAATGCTTATTCTGCCAGCTGGCGGAATCCCTCTAACTTTGCAGCCTATGCCGTCATCATGCTTGATAACGACAAGGCTTTTGAAAGCGTTCATCCCAAGTATCTCCCACAAATGTTGCTGAAATTTGGTTTCCCTGAAGCGTTTGTCACGTATCACGAACCTCTTTGTTGATAGTGATGAATTCGTAATAATAGTCGATGATAATAATCAGTTGTCAGCTGTAACTAAAACGAAAGCAAAGAGCTTTTTTTATTACAGGGCATCTAACTAGCTTAGATATACTAGATCCCTGGTAAATGACTACTACGTTGAGATGGTATATAAATAGCAGGCCACTGGGGCCTTATGGATTGTTGGTATAGCTTGTTGAGAGGCCACCTAAGTCGATATGTTTCATGTAGTGTAGGTGGAACTCGATATCTTGACATCAGGGAGATTGAATGTATTGTAGTTCCTGAGGCACTCGTGTACTCACAGTTGACTGGACTTGTAAACATACTGTAGGGGGAAGAACTGTCCCGTTCGTTTAAAATTTTGTCATTTTGCACAAGTTTTTGGTCATTTCTTTGTATACAAAGTCGAAATATATATCGTTTGAATGAGAGAAAGTAGTGCTATCTATACATAACTATAGCTTTTTCAAAAACTAAAATCCAATGATTTTATTGGTTAAAAAATAAATATAGAAAAATGTACATTTTATTATAAAATCATTAATAGTGAGTTGAACCACCTTTGCTCTTGATGACAGCCTTGATTCGGGCAGGTATACTATCAATATATTTCTGGCACTCTTTTTCTGTTATTTTGTACCACTGAATGTTAATACGCCGCTCTAATTCTTCTTTTGTAGAGGGCCTAGTGGGATACTTATTAAGACGAAGCTTTAGGAGATGCCAGACATGTTCAATGGGATTAAGATCGGGGCTTTGGGTGGCCAATCCATAATTTTGTCTAGGTTAAACCCATTGTCGGTGAACCATCGCTTAGTAATGCCGGAGGTATGCGGTGTTGCTATATCTTGTTGAATTCGCACATCAGATGGTGTCTTCCCAAAGTGCTCAAGAGTGTCGTTCAATGATGTCTTCGAAATATCGACAAACAAGCCCGAGTTTATTGCGTCTTCAATAATGGTAGTACCATAACCAGGCCCCTCCGCTGTTATGCAACTCCAGAACATGACTCCACCGTCATTTCCCTGCAACTGAGACTTGGCTTGATACGACTGCATGATTCGGCCAACATTCGTTCAGTAAAAAGAATTACCATCAGAGCCTCAAACGTTTATTCTTGTTTCATCCGAAAACACCCAACGACGCCAATCAGCAATAGTAAAATGCCTATGCTTTTTAGCTCACGCCAATCGAAGCCGCTTGCTTGTCTTGCTAACAAAATTTATCTTTGCTTTTATTCGAGATTTAAGACCGTTTCTTTTCAATGACTTGCGGATGCCACCAATTGACGTATCTTGACCCATCGATCTTAAACTTTCTTGTGCTGCTCGGGGATTATCTAAAGCACCTGATCGAAGTCCTCTTGACACTAGGGACATAGTTTTAGCACCAAGTTTTTTTGGTATTCCGCCAAGAGGTCTAGCTGGGTCAGGGCAATATAGTTTTCTGAGCCTTGTAAGAGTAGAGTTACCCACTCCTGGATACAAATTTTTTATCTTTGAGAAAGAACGACCACGTTGGAGCAAGGATTGGAGAGTGTTGCGCAAATCTTGTGTTAAACGAGCAGGCAAAATGAAAGTTTTGAAAAAAAAATAAGAAAGCAAAGAAATAAAGAAAAAATATGAAGAAATTAGCTTCTTTTATACTTTCGGAATGCTCCTGGGATATTAAATATCCTGAGCATATCGCGGGTAGTTTTTTAGATTTCTTCGATACGTTTATTGGAAGTAAAGATATCAACCATTTTATATCATCTAGAATTACCCACCTAACATTTTTGCCACGTCTCACTTTAGCTGGTTATACTGGGATTAAAATATAGTCCAGCCATAAGGTTTTTACGTTGCTGTAATCCCTATAAGCTGTTCTATTGAACGCAGTATGGGGTAGCTTTGTTTTCTGAGTTGTGGCAATATACTGGGTAAAAGTCAAGATTATTTGAACGAACGGGACAGTTTTTCCCCCTACAGTAGTTGCAAATGTATAAATACTCTTCTTTTTTTTACTCAATTCCAGGATCTTCAGTTCATTTTATACATAAATAAAGTATAGTTGATTTCTATTGCATTTTACTATTGCTTTACTTTTTTTGTGAAATCTATTTAAACCTAATTTCACTGCACAAGCACAAATCAAGCCAAATCATAAACTTTGACATAAGACCTCACTACGGCACAAATGATGCTTCCATGAGAACTTTGATGTGCTCATATGGGAACATCCGGAATGTCTTTAATAAGTGTGCACATCGACCTTCTCAAAGACGAAAAATGCTCTTTTTATCATATGGGAAACTGGTATTCCTGAATATTTATAATAACCCCCGGGCGATGTTCTCATGAATATATCGATGTCCAAAAGTTTGAAAAAAAGAATGCCCCCTATCGGGTGGGACCCACAACCTCTTAATTGCTGATCGAACGTTCTTTCACCTAAACTATTGGAGTTTCTCGTTAATTCTTCTTTTTTTTTGGCCTGATACCTAGTTGGAAAAAACTTAAATCGTCATTTTCTGGTTGTGTTAATTATTTATAACAAGCTTCGCGATCTTAAGAATTTCACGAGTAACAAGGGTCTTTCTGTTGCTAACAAAATCATACCTGAGCTACCGAAGCCTTTAGATCCACATGCAAAATCTCGCCTCTTTACATGAGAACATCAATGGGTTTACCAGAATATCAATGTTTCCAAAACAGCGTAATAGACGAATGAAGTAAAAGAATATAATTCTTTAAATTAAAATAGAACTTTACAGCTTCTCGAATATGCATACATGACTTGAATTAGTCGGCCCATTTAAGTCAGTAGAACTTGACATCCCCACGGTCATGATTATCTTAGTGGATGGCCTGATGTCAGCAGTACATCCTACACCATTCTTGATTTTTTGATGTCGAACCATGTCTTGTTTGCTGCGATAATTACGCTGCAACTGTATATTCGATTGAACTAATGCGCGGAATGTTTTTATAAGAAAAACATGAAACAAGATTCAACAATGCGTTGACAGCCTTTGATGATAAAGACTGTAAAACATCCCTTAAACCTTTTGACATTCAAACTTATGGATGCACCTTGAAGTATAAAGAATAACCAGCCAAAGTTAATTCAAATCCAGAATCATAATCTGTTGCAGATTGGCCAAATGTTGGTATTCTTCGACTTGATTGATCTCTTCTACCATATTCGACTATATAAAACATGATAATCACCCAATGCTTCCTTACACTCACCTTTCTTTCGTCTAAATTGTTTTTAGGGCCTTTTAAACCCCGAAAACAACATCATCAAGCAGTAAAGATCCAAACAAAACCGACAACAAACACAGCTACAACAAGCCAGTCAGGTCTGTCAAGCCAGCCGACACCTACCGTTACCTCCAACTCCCGTCTTACTTTAGCCAAACAGACGACAACCGGCAACCGAACCTCTAAACTTCCCGTTGCTTCTAGGAAGCGGCGCCACTCCACTATCAAAGCTACCACGGTACCTTTACGTAGATCACCGCGAAGCCAAGCACCTACTACTGACTTTATGGACACTATGAATATTGCAACACCCGTTGCTCCTGCACCTACAACCGCTCCCACCAGCTCCACTATCAATATGGTCGTTGAGCCTTCCACTAATGCGATCAACCCACCTGCCTTCCTTGAAGGCATGCACCCACCTAAACCAGACGAAATCCATCAGTCTCCCCTGATGCCCACTTGGATTCAGGAGATCTATTCACGTCTTGCCTCTGTCACCACTCACTTGCAGACTCACGACTCACAACTGGAACAGAACCAAGCTTTGATCAAACAGACTCAAGAATTGATCAAAAAGAACCAGGAACTCCAACTGGCTTTGGATAAAGCCCACCACGAGATTGCGCAACTCAAGTCGGCTGCCAATCAAACCTCGACACCTCCATCTGCTACTACGCCGGTGCTCGAAAGGAGCTCCGAGGGTACCTCAGCCTCTCTATGGGCAGATATGGCTGCCAAACCACCAGCGGATGAATCAGCTCCAGCCGTTACTAAACGCAAGGAATCCAAGCCCAAGGCTTCCACATCCACCAAACCAGCTCCCAAGGCCAAAGCCAAACGGCCATTGACTTTAGAGCAGGTTAGCCGGTTCTACTCTCTTCCCTCGACGACCCACGGTTACCAATTCCTGTACTTCACCTCTCGTGGACGTGAAGCCATCTCGAAAGTCCGTGCGGGTTTCCAGGTGCTTGGTTTATCTCAAAGCCGCATTCTTGATATCCATTACCCTACTAATAACATCATTAGTTTCTTAGTTCACAACGACTATGCCTCCACTGTCGTGGAAGCAATGGCTCAACTCCCTGACTCTCAACGGATTACCGACTTCGACCCTTGTGCACCCACCATCCTTAGGGATCCCAAGTACGCCAACCATGCTGATCCGCTCTTTTTGAAGTCTGAGGCGGCACGCATTCACCAAGAACGTTTGCTCCGCATGATTAAACGCCTCAACACTCCCAACATCAAATTGGCCGTCGCTCGCGACTTCTGCTTCAAACGAAAATGGATATCCGAGACTATGTATCAAACATTTTACCGTGAGATCTACCCTGCCAAGGCATCCAAGACTGCCTCATCTTCTTCAACGGATGATGTTAACATGGATGATGCTCCTGCTTCTCAAGATTCTACTTCCCAACCTGCTGCCTCCTCTTCCTCTATTAGCCCAGCTGACGGCGTCTCAGCCCCCTTGGTCTAATGAGTACTACTACCTTTGAATCACCCAACTATGCGAATAATATGCCCCATTATGACACGAATACTAATTCTTTTATGCACAATCACAATCTAAATATAGCTTCCTTGAACTGCCGCAATCTCGTCAAAGCATCTACGCCCGAGATTAGCTCTGACTTCATCCGATACCTCCGTTCCTTACATTTGGATATCCTCTGTGTTCAAGAATCACATGCAGTCGAGGCAGTTCAAGATCAACTCAATTTACAATTTCAAGCTCATGACACCTTATGGACCCAACATTGTGGTATTATTTCATTCAATCCTTTAATTCAATTACATTCGTTAGACTTAGATCTAGATCAACGCATCATTGCCTGTAAGGTTGTCCATGCCAATGCGTTGTTTCCACCCTTTACGCTCCTTAATGTTTATGCCCCAGCCCAGTACTCACCCCGAGTTCGGTTCTTCAGAGACCTACTAACGTTGCCCCTTTTCGACATTCCTTCTTCAACCTCTCGGGAATCCCTATCCTCTTTATCTACCTTGCTCGATTCTGATCCTTCCAATCTTTCTCCCATGCTTCTGATGGGCGATTTCAACTACCATGCTACCTCCTATCTGACCGACGATAGTGATGATCCGGAACTTGATACTGACAATATTACTTCAGGAGCTGCTATTCACAGACACTTCCACCGACTCATCAATACCCACCTCTTTGAATGCACTCATTCTAGGGAAGAGGGTCCTCTATTACCAACCTATCGTAGACGAACTGGTCAATCTACTATCGATTACCTTTATGCTTCTAATTTCCTATTTCAACATCTACATTCGTCTGAAATTATGTTCCTTGACTCCTCCTGGACGGATCATGCTCTACTACGGGCTCGATTTGTCTTTTCTTCGGATCGTCAGGGATCAGGCCTTTGGCGTGCTAACCCAAATCTTTCGACTAACCCATATTTCATTGACCAACTGTTTACAGCTCTTGATGACTTTTTCAATACCTTGGAGATCTCTGCCTCTATCGATATCGCCGCCTCTATTCCTCCTGCTTCCCCACAGGACAATTGGGATGCTCTCAAAACCTTGGTGCAAGAAATTGTTCGTCGAGTCAGTCGTGATAGAAGTAGTGCCTTGGAACGTCAATCCAAACGACTCCAACGTAAACGCAATCGCATCTGTCGACAATATACAGATCCTCGGATCCGCGCTCCTCTACTCTCGACTATTGAAAAGCAGATAGGTATTCTTCAACGGGAGATAGCTTCCAACTTACGATTACGTGCTGGTAAACATTGGCGCGAGCAGGGAGAAACCTCTGCCGGATACCTCAAACGTACCATTGCCACTCGTGCGGTCAAAAAGGCGATTACTAGCCTCATCAATCCAGTTACTAACTCATTATGCACTGACCCCTCTTCAATGCAGACAGCAGCCTCTAGTTTCTATGCAGCATTATACTCCTGTGATGCCGTGGATTCAGCGAGTATCGACTCTCTGTGTGCCACTATTCCGGATTCTGACACCATCGCGGATGCCGATCATGATACCCTTCAGCAACCTTTCACCATTGCCGACTTATTGACTGGTACTCATCGTACCAAGTTCCAATCCAGTCCTGGTATCGACGGTTTACCTTACCCCATTCTCAACATTATCCTCAACCACCAGAAGGCCGCCCAACTTGCTGTTAAGGTGTTTAATGATGCCCTCAACCTGGGTATCTTCCCTTCCAGCTGGTTGCAAACTTGCATTTGTTTACTACCCAAGTCTGGCGACCTCTCCAACCTCAAGAATTGGCGTCCTCTTTCTTTGATTTGCTGTGATGCCAAGATCTTCACACGATTGCTTAATCAACGCCTTATGCCCTTCATGAACAAGATCATATGCCCCCAACAGTCTGGATTCATGCCTGGTCGTTTTATCGGTGATAATGGTATGATTCTCAACAACACTCGTCTCATTGCTGCTGAAACTTCATCGGACAGTATTGCGCTGCTCTTGGATCAAGAGAAAGCGTATGATCGCATCCACCCTGACTACCTTCGGGCGGTGATGCAACGATTTAACCTTCCTACTAACATTATCCATTCATTAATAACCCTTCTCTTCTCTACGCAAATTCACATCAACATTAACGGCCACATATCCACCTCGTCCATCACCCAACAACGTGGTATCCGCCAAGGGGATCCCATCTCACCCCTCCTTTTCAACATTGCTTTTGATCCTTTCCTTCGTTCCATTCAACAAGATCCTCAGTTTACTGGTTTCAACCTGCATACTGAAGCTCCACCTCCTACTAATCAAACTACATCTGACGATATTTCAGTTCCTATGCAACAGTTGTTTCCGGACAATGACGGCCTTGCTGTCAGTCCTGATAATACTCCTGCTCCTCCAGATTCTCCCGCCTCTACACCTCTGGCGGTAAAAATCCTGGCATATGCGGATGATACATTGGTATATCTCCATGATACGCAGGACTTTCATCGCTTGCAGACCGCCATCACCATGTATATGAAAGCTTCTAACGCATTATTGAACTATCACAAGACAGTAGCTACATCTCTCTCAGGCAATCCTTCAGCAACTTGGCAAGCCTTACTCGCAACCTATGGCATAAACGCCTGGCATGATCGAACATCCGCCACTCCCCTCATTTATCTCGGTTATCCCATCTGTTCCAGCATTACTCAACGCAATGTTGCCTTTCAAAAACTATATGATTCCATCCGAAATGCCATTGCTCTTCACTCACAACGCAACATCTCCATCCGTGGCCGTGCTACCATTCTCAACTCACTCATTTATTCCAAATTATGGCATGTTTTACGACTCACAACATTTACCAAGGCCCAGTTGCTCTCTTTACGAAGCCTGGGTACCGCCTTCATTAATTTTCGTATATTCCCTAGACTCTCTTTTGCTACTCTCTCTTTACCTCGCTCTGCCGGTGGTTTGGGGCTCCTAGATCCTCTCTCTCAACAACAAGCTCTGCAATGGTACTGGGTGTGCCCTCTATTGCTTCAATATCTTGACTCTCCGGCCTTCTCCAAGTACAACACTCCTTCGCTTCCTGTCTTAACTTATACTCTTTCTTGGTGCTACTCCTCCACCGTCTTCCCTCATTTCTTCTACTATCTCTTGTTGCCTTATGCTCGCCATCGGTCGTGGTTTCCTCAAAGCCCATCCCGTCGACACAGCTATCTCAATCCAATTACTAATCTTCAGTCCTGTTTGTCACTTTTCCAGATAACAGAGCGTCATAACTTATACGTTGATGCTGTTACTTGCTACTCACTTCCTCTCTATGATATTCTTTTACATTCACTACCTACTACTAATACTCTTTATTCATCTAGCTTTATACCACCGAATCTTCTCTTAGACGGCTCCAACGTTGCAAAGAAGCTTCTTGTAAGCGACATTTTCCGGTTAGATGCTGATCATCAGGTGCTTCGTGTTCGTTCTTCCTTCCAATTTGCTAGCCATCCTATTGTCTCCCAACGTGTTGCTGATTTCATCAATTCTCGTCAACTGATATTCCAACCTTTCTTTGCACAGCAATGCTTCATTGCTCCCCGTCCAGCCCTAGACCCTCATCAACCTCCCTCTCTGCGGGCGTTTTGCCGTAGCATTTTCGTCCCTCCTTCTTCCTCGCCTTCGCGTAGTCGGTTGCCACTCAACAGCATCCGCTTTTTTAAAAAACTACGCAAAAACCTACCCTCTTCCTCCTCCTCTCTTTCTCCTCTCCAACCTCCTCAATGGCGCTCATTCTGGACACTCGCAATTCCCCTTGCTGCTCGCACGGTCTGGTATCGGGCTATATATGAAAAAATCCCCACCAGAGCCCTCCTACATCTACGCGTTCCTGACAATCACCCTTCTCACCTCTGTACAATCTGCCCTGCCTCTCCCACGGAGGATATCACACATGCTCTGTTCTCCTGTCCTCCCAAGTTGCTGGTCTGGCGATACATGTATCACACCTATCTTTCTGCTTCTCCATCAATCTCTGATGTTGATCTGATTCATTTCTTACAACAAACTTTACTCTGTTCTTCCCCTCTTCTTGATCGTGATCCCTCTCTCTCGTTCAATGAACTCTCTATTCCTCAACTATTCGCAACTACTCTTTTGACAATTTGGCAAGCGCATTGGCGCTGGATCTTCGACCGAACCCCGTTCATCGCTGACACCGTTCAACTTCGCCTTGCTCGCTCTCTTGCTCGTTTGGATGCCGAGTTAAATCTTGATTCGTAAGTATTCAGTTTTACCTTTTCGTTCATTCTTCTGTCACCTTTTTTTTCCAACCCATTTTCCATCCGATCCTTTGTCTCTATATCCAGTCTTTTCTATCCCTCAGCACGACATTTAAAGGACTTTAAATAAAAACTGGAGCTCGTCTCCCCTACAAAAAAAAAAAAAAAAAAAAAAATGCTTCCTTACACTTTCTTGGAGTGCTTTTTGAGGCGCATCCAATGGTACCCAATAGGATAGATGTTTTGAATAAACTTATCAAACAATTTATGAAAATATGAAAAGAGGTTTCTGGCCGAAAAGTCGAGATGTTCCATATCAAAGTCCAACAAAGATGATTTCAGGAGTTACATTCGATCGATAGAAACATTTTGATTCAAGATATACCATAATAAAATTCTTCGTTATCAAGGTAAAAAATGCGATTGTTTGATTTTCAATGAAAGCCATAAGGGGTACCTCATGCTTTTTGGTCGATTTTTGGCCATGTTTCTTTGGTCCCCAAATAGTTGAGCAAAGGTGTCAGAAAGTAGCAGCCAGATGAGAGCAACTGTTTGGTGCTATTCTGACCATCTAAAACGGCCTTGAACGCAAGAAAACGCAGCTCAAAGGCACTCAAGTTTTGCTGTAGTAGGTACACTCTTGACTAAAAAGGGACTAACATCTGTATGGTACTTGCCCATATATGAAGTAGCTACGTGTATATGGATGTAGAACATCACATAAGAATCAGATCTGCTGATAATATGAAGGGGTTTCATGTGTAGGTGGAGGGTCAAAATAAAAGTCGCTATATTTTGATAAGATACGCAAGGACAATCGGCAGCGCGAGCTGCCGCTGCGCAGGTTGGTTCTCACCGAAGCATGAACACGCGTAAAGAGTAATGAATGTATACAATACAATGGAATAGGAGTAGATCCAGCGTATGTGGGCGTGTTAAACACAATATTGACACTAAATCGTTTAATATTATAATGACATAGAATATTCTAAGAGTGAATAGGAGGAAAAGGAGAACATTGATGGGACAGATGCATATGTGCGTTTACAGAATTCTATGTTCAGCAGTAGTGTACAGTACATTAATTGAAAAGGAGAGGTAACACAGACATAAATGTTTAAGATGAGAACACCATGGTTTTGACAACATATCTACCAGCAGTGATACCAGTAGGCAATGTCACTGTTGTTGATTTGCTGACACCGCCAATCTCGATGGTGAGCTTAACAGTAGCCAGAGACTGAGTAGGATCAGCAACAGTAAGACGGTAGGTACCAGCCTTTGTCTCGCGGAAAGTAAATATACAAGGATTATTCGCAGTGATGGTAACAGAGTTCCAAGGGGTAGTGTAGGTGCCTGCTGTCCAGAATGCAGCGGCAATTGACTTGTCAGCAGCACTATAAGCAGCATTGACCTGAGGAGAATCAGCGTTGAAGGCCAAGGCAATTGGCATTTTTCCTCCAGCGACATTCGCATTGAAGGTGGAAGCAGAAACGTCAGGCTGAACAATGTACTGTGTCAAGAGGCCCGTGGTGTTGGCAGAGGTGTGCTTAATATAGGATGTCCATAATTGCTGCGTTTCAGTGCCTTCAGATATGCCAATATCAGACCAGTTGGATGCCTTGGGTCTGGAATTGACAAAGAGGTTTTCAGATGTCGGAAAGTAGTAGCCAATGCGATCGTGCCAAATGCTGCTGGATTTGGTTGTAGCGTAAGTTGTGTCTGTATTCTTCAAGTTGCCTGAGACATAGATATCGCCATTACGACGACGTTGGTCAAGCACAGTGACGAGAGGAGCAGCTGTGTTCTTGGAAGCGACAGGACCCACTTGAACAGCATAACCACTAGGGAAGAAAAAGACGGTTTTCTTGAAGGCGAGATTGCCATTTTGTGGGTTCACATAATCCATAACAGCAATACCCGTGTTTCCATCAGTTGCGCCGCCCACAAATGCCTTCTTTCCTTTGCTTTTGACCTTGGAGCATTCTAGAGGAGTGCCTCCGTAATCAACAGTGATGCCAGGCACTAAATTCCAGTCCCAAGCACCAAATGTATCCATGTACTCGTCGCCAGTGAGATAGTTGTAAATAGCCCCATCACTGAGATGAAAGCCGTAGATGTTCTGGGCATTGAGGCACTCAGAGTTAATTGTGCGGGTAGAGTACATCTTCATTGTAACGACATAGGTAGGGCCACGATGAACCTGCGAATGTTAAAAGACGGTGAGATATACATGGCATTGCTTTGAGCACTATGATTTACAAACCATATAGTCAGCATTGTAAAAGTACCGAGTGCCAACAAGATCGCCTTGATTAGCATCGTCAGTGGATGGAGCTTGCAAACGATCGGTGATAGCAACAACATCTGCTTCCTTCTCCCAGCCTTCAGCACTTGCCTCGACTTTGTTAATGTCGATAGCTACACCTCCGCTGGCTTGATTATCCGAATATCGAAAGGAGATCATGCGGCCAATAACACTGTACTGCCACAATAGCGACTTGAGCTTTGTGTCTGCAATCATCATCCACTCTGAACCGCTCATCAGTGTTTCAAAGGCGAATTGAGCATAGGTAGGAGGGGCGAGATCCGTCTCCTTGGTTTCAATAAAGACTGACAATAGATCGTTGATGTAGTCCTTGCCGTAATTACCATTGTAAAGCAAGCCAGAGTGTTGCATGAACGAACCATCCGATTGGATGCCATCACCAGCAACTTTGTCACTGATCTCTACACCACGATAGAAATCCTCTAGAGCGTCTTTGAGGATGCCAGCGTCTTTGTTTAGCAAGCCAAGGGTGATACCAACAGATGCGACATCGAGTAAATTAGCCCCTGTGTAACTGCTGATGGAACGAAGACCAGTGTCGACAGTAGCGTATGATCGTGCCTGGATTTTGCTGCAGGCTGCTAACTGATCTGTGGTCAACTTGTCTTGGAGTAACAAACAAATACCGCCGATATTTGTGGGTGTTCCAATAATTTGGTTGTACCTAATCAAAATGCTGTTTAGCCAACAAGTCGATGTGATATGATGGAAATTCACAAACCAATTTGGATTCCAAAGGCCAGGTGTGCCACAAGGACAGCTACCAGCACTATTTCCTCCCCAATCGATGCAGTCGTTTGTCGTGAAATCATTATCTAGCCAATAGTTGAGGGCTCGAATGGCCTTGGCCAAGACAGCACTGTCTGTGGGGTCTTTGGCATAGGCCGCAGCAAGAGTACCTACAAGAGCATGGAGGGTTAAATTTCTGTAAAATTATTTTCGAGCTATGCCATTTTGATTGAAATCTGTCTTACGTGTTCTAGTCAAATGTGTTTGAGCGGGCCAAGAAGCAACTCTGGGAATTTGCATTTAGTATTATTAAATTGATCTGTTACTATAGATATAGATATATAGATATAGATAGATATATATATATATATGTATGTACCTGGCATCGCAACCTGCTGTGTAATCTACATCTGACCAGGTGCCAGAGGATCGAAGCGAGGATTTCCTATATACATTCCAACATGTCAACATGCTGTTTCTCGACATGCAATTCGGCGTATCGGGTCTTTTTTTTTTCGTACCATTTATTGACATTGTCTGTAGATGATTCTCCCATATCAATGATATTCTTTATGCGACGACTTGTTAATGTGGCAATATCCTGCTCTGTGGGCGTTGGTACCGCATTTGCGAGGAAATTGCATAAAATGAGTGAAGAGGCTGCCAAAAGTGTCCAATGTCGCATAACGAAAAAGAGAAAGGGAGAAAAGTTAATGTAGAGAAAAGAGAGTGAAGGTGGTAGCAACTCTCATAAAACCTGTACGAGCTTCCCTCTCTTTATATAGTTTTCAAAGATCTCCTTTCTTGTTACGATCCTGTATGAAAGATGCAAAACAAACTAAGGTTTGATTCGTTATTCGACTTTCGGAACTGTACTACGCCTGTAATACAGAACTTGGTAAACCTCAACGTGCAAAGTATCCAAAGACTGGTGAATATAGTGGTTACCCAATAGGCTCAACCACACATATTTGGATGTAGACAATAGGAGCAGACTCACACAAAGGCTGTTGTTAAATCCATGCGAGATTTGAAAACAATGATCATGCTTCACAAAGGAGAGAACGACGGTCTGTAGATTAAGGGATAAATGATATTACGATAGTTTACACTAGCAATTTCTCTATTGTTCTAATTGGTATCTTCTGTGGCTCTGTGTCTACGAATTTCATTTAGATTATCTAGATATCTGTTCTGAAATGCTTGCTTTTCATACCCAACCCCAATATTGTGAATTTCCCTGTATAGCAGCAAATGTCTTGTGCTGCTAATAGTCTATGGACCCGAAATAAAGGTTGTACAATAGCAGTTTTTGCATATGATACATGTAAATTAAAGGAGACACAGAAATGAAAATAGCATCATCTCTCCTGTATGATTTTCGACATGTGTTGTCGTTGGCGATGATAGACGATCGTTACTACTATAAAGACAATAGCCATGATGATGTGACAATCTCCATATATATACCCTTCCATAGTGTGTTACATTAAATTTTCAAGTTACTATATCAAGCAAATGTCAACCCTATAGAAAACTCACCAAAATGATGCTTGGCTCAAGTCTAGATTGACCTATTTAAAAGATGTAACCAAAGGGTTTTCATTTTCATTGTTCTAGTGATTCAGAGTTTTTTTTTTTAAAAAAAAAGAACGAATTATGACTAGAAAAGCCCTACCTTGCTCACAAGATATTAGCACCATGTACTTGACATGCAATTGAATAGCCACACTGCATTTTAAATACTCTTCATAGTATGCATCGAAAACAACAAGAGCATCACATACTAAGGCTTGATATCTGAAATTTAATTTATTCTGCGTGTCAGTGTAGAGCAGACTCATAAGACAGATTCTATTCGGATCAAATGAAGCAAAGAGGGGTATATATTTGTAGCGATAATATATGTATGTGACATGATGAAATGTATATATATGAGGTAATGGCATTTTATAGGAGGAGCTGCTGCTGGCTGCTGCAAAATTACCAAGAAAGATTGGTGCGCTTCAATTTGGAGGCTAATCTTGCTAATGATGATTTGGTGAGTTGATGCTCGAGATGAAATTTGGGTGCAGGCACAAGGCGGACATCGCGATCTTCTACAATGACTGTATCCACATTACTTTCTGACAAGAGATTGGCAGTGGGATTGGCAGCAGTAGAGGTGGAGGCATGGCGAGGTCGACGAGTCAATGCAGCCAGTCTTTCCATGGCTTGTTTTGGTGGACATGGCAGCATGGGACGGTAAGGCAAATGAGCCACTTGACTGCCGGTGTCAGGCTGGGCGCTGAACATGCTAAGAATACGATCGTCTGCATCAGACCAATGGGCCGAACAAAGCGTATACTCCAAAGGAATATGCACATCTGTTTTCTCCATTAATCTGCCACGCAAAACGAACGATTCATAGTAAGGACCATGACACGAAGTACATGTTTTTGCAGATTTAATATACTCAACCATGTGCTGAGGCAAATAGGGATGCTGATCGATTTTAATTTGCTTTCGTATTACAGTACGTGCGCATATCTCAACAAGACTGGGTGCATTGTGTCGCAATGGATACGTCAAGTCGCTATCAAATGGACACTCTTCTAGTCGCATACGGCGCAAAAAGGGTAGTTTGGATATTTCTGCTGGTAACACGCGGAGGGGATTCCGGGTCAAATCGAGTGAAATCAAGCCTACGAGTCCACTCACATCAGTTGGCAGATGTGTGATTTGATTGTATGCCAGTGATAGTGTCTTTAGCTTTTCGAGGTAGCCGATACAAGATGTAATATGCTCTAGTTCGTTGTAGGAAGCATCCAGTTCTGAGAGATTGGATAGGTATCCAATGGTGTCTGGTAATGCTTTGATTCGATTCTTTGCCACTGATAAGGCTTCCAACTGTTGCATATATCCAATCGACTCGGGCAGCTCGGTCAAGTAATTACTGGATCTACAAAAGGTAACACAGTCAGAAATTTGCCAGTATATAATGTAATCTTTATTCTCGTGTTGATAAATAGGCAGAATCCCCTGCATCCACAGTGATGCTGCTCCCTTTTATCTCCTATCATCTCTTTTTTGTATCTACTTACAAATCCAATTTACGAATCATTGTCAACATGGCCATATTGGGACTGAGCTTGTAGATGGATCTACATGGTAAGTAGACTTCTTGAAGTGTCTTGTCTGGCGAAGAGAGCATGACATCGGTAAACGAAATAACATGTTTTGCTCCTGAATGTGCGGATGCTTCTGTTGGTTCGCCGATACATTTGTAGGGCGTATCATCACCTGTTGAAGGGTAGCAGTATTCAGAAACCATTGGAGAATAGTATGTAGTGTCAATGTAGTCCAAGTCATTTGCCAGTTGCATGCTTTCATCACAGGAAGGCGACATGTATCCAGAATCAGGGCGCTCATGGAACTTTCGATTTGTCATGGTTACTGTAGAGTCTAAGGATGTCATGGATGTACTTGGCAATGCTGCTGCTGGAGATTGCAAAAACGGGTACTGTGACCTTAATCCGTATAATTCAGGGTGAGTGAGCAGAATATCCTGGTCAAAGTAGTCATAGTTGTCGTCGCTGTCTTTGTGAGTTTTCGCAACAGTGCCGGTATGGCTGTGGTAGTGCAAGTAAGCAAATGTAAATGAACCTTTGATTTTGCTTTCAGTTTGACCCATTATTTTACAGAATATATATATATAGAAATACACAGAATAGACTACAACAAGAAATATTTATACAAAAGAGAAGAAAGAAAGAAAGAAAGAAAGATAGCTCAAGCCTTTATATATATATATATATATATATATATATATATATATATATATTGGTTTTTCAGGGGGGATATCATCCATATAAAAGATGCACAAACAAGGCGATGGCTATTTTTGGATCCTCAGCACTCTACTATTGATGTTCTTGTTCAATTGACACTACAGCCTCTGCTTCTCCTTTCTCTCACATCCTGCGCTCATCCTACTTGCTCTCATCAATTTCAATTATCAGGTTGCAGTTTTGTTTGTGTGTTTTAAAGCATTGGCCTTCTGTATGTGTACCCGTTGGCAGCAGGTATGGACGTCGGATTCCTAATCAAAAGTGCCTGAAATTCATTTTGTGATCTGAACGCATCCTATTTATTGGATGTGTTGCAGGTTGATATAAGAAAAAAGCCCTAGAAATTGCATTCTCGGATGAACTATAGCCATTACACACTCGAGAGTCTAATCCAGCGCCATGGATACATGTGAAAGTACTGTAAGCTGACTTGTAAAACCCAAGTATGAAGTGATATATGTTTCATTAGCTCGAATCGGATGTCATGAAACTATTTTAAAGAAGCAATCAATTTTAAGGGAATTTTTTTATTAGAACAAGATCTGCACTGTGTGTTTATATCAATTGTATCAATACACGTGGCTATCATGTTACTGCAAAATTGAATCACTTGGTGGATGATACAATGCCAGTGTAATTTATCTTTATGCAAGTCCATGTCAATCTTGTATGAAACATATATATATATACTGTTCCCTCCAATGTGGATGAGAAAGACGGAAGAAAGCACAGACGCATCGTGCGCTTTATTAGCATCGCATTACTGTCGCATCACAGTTGCCCAATCTACCATTGACGCCGCTCTTTCCTTGTCCTCCTCCTTGTCCTCCTTGTCCTCTTTTTCCCTCCTCGCCTCTGAAGTATCCCCTCCTAGTTTGGCAGGAGGAGTTGTATGTGTACTATTTACATGGTGCCTAATCCAGAAATATAAGATGTGGCAAATTGTATTGTCAAAGGAGTATATCAGGTTCTATTATTAACCAGTAATCCAATCCGAGGATTTCATTATTGTTTGATTTGGAAATCAACAGGTTGGCTCATACAGTAGTAGGGGCGATAAGAGCACAATCCAAAGGGACAGATATGCCTCATGGCAGCTCCAAGCGCAATACTATTTGGCCAAACACTGCTATTAAACTGCAGCTTTTTTTTTTTCCTCCACACATGTGACGGTAGGTAAACCCTTCAAAAGTTTTCACATTTCCGAATCTCTTTTTACTTTTACGCGATTGCACACATAAATACAAGTAAGTGAGATGAAGGCGCTAAATCCAGCATGTCAAATGATAGCACATTATGATGACTACGTAAAAGGTTCGAGTTTATTTCCATCATGTTGTCGAGTTTAGTCGTCTACAATCACATTTTGCAATATCGATTTGAAAGAGATCGTTTATCCGACGATTTCACCTTGCACTGTTCGAAATCTTGTTCTTTATTCTTAGTTGTGGATAGAAGAACGTAAGGCCGAGCACAGATCAAACCAAGGAGGGAAGGTTGGATATGTCATGTATTCGTCTTTTCTTGCAGTCATTGTTAGACCACACATGTCGCAGTAAAGCATGCTGCTGGTAAAGGATGGCTCAACAACATTTCGCTGAATGTACACTCCAACTCTTTTGAACTGAACCCGAGCATCCGTTCGACTTGGACCTCATGGGTGGATTCACAAAAGACAGACGTAGCAATGGATGCTTCTCTACATGTCGATTTGTAGATTTTGCCATTCTACAGGGTCGTTGTATATAAAGCATCATACAATCTTATGCGTCGATTTGCAAAGTGTGGTAAACGCATAACAGAGAACGCGTAAATGATGGAATGACATGATACAAAACCCTACATTGCTGATGCAATCATTTGGCATTTTGGATCGCATTACTTGATTTTGATACATGTTGTTAACTTGTTGTGATTAGTGGAAGACTATCGAAGAACAAGCAAAAATGTCGACAGTGCAGACGCAGAAAAACCACCAGCTGATAATGAAGTGCGAATCAGCCATAGCAAAATACCTGTCTATGTGGATGCTTGTCTCAAACTACTGCAAGTAAGCATCTAATCTGCCCCTTTTTTTTTCGGGAATGGCACTAATCACTGTCGAGTAGAAGGATGCCAAGCAACACATTGTAGTAGTGGGAAAAGGGCAGTTTGTTAACAAGGCAGTGACAGTAATAGAAATGGTGAAGAGAAAGATGCAAGGCACGTTGCATCAATATACCCAGTTGGGTAGTGTGTCAGTCGTTGAACAATGGGATGCTACCAATGACGACAAGTTGGACAGGTACATTTTGAAGAATCTGTGGGAATATTACATTATACTGACATACCTTTATTGTAGTGTTCAAGTAAGCAAGAAAGTGCCTGTCATTATTATCTATCTATCAGTGGATGAAATGCCTGAACTAGAGGCCACATCTGGCCACCAAGCACCTACTGGGCCTGATATCTTTTAAGTCGTTTGAAATCTTAATGTAAATAAACCACCTCAACTTTGTAAATACAATCTATTGTCTTTATATATATATATATATATACAAAATGCGCATGCTATTTATTTACAAAGTGTCTAGTTGACATGTCTTTTCCAGCTCTGGAGTAATGAGGAAAAGCCATTTGCATGATGGTTGTCGTCTATTAAGGGATCTCCCGCTTTTCTTTCATGAGGTTTGGACACGAGCTCTTGAACCAAACGCTTGCGCCACTCATGAGGTCGCTGAGTGGGTTGGTAGATGGGTCTTTCGACGCTTGAAGCAGGTGGGATGTAGTAGCAATTTGATTTGGTATTTGTTGCTTTTTCAAAATCGATACAAGACCATGATTTCGCGCCTGATTGGTGCTGACCCACGTTTGTTCGACAAGGTTTGGACTTTCTGGTGAACATGGAACGTGGTGATGGTTTTGCTAATGTACGAGGAGTTGGAGGAAGAGGGCTTTTGGGTGGTGGACTAGATGGCGGGGACGAATGATCGTTGATAACATGCGATTTCTTGAATGCATGTGGTGATGGAGATGTCCTTTGATCGTACGCATCAGATGGCAATGTAGACGCAGAGCTCGAGGCCTCTGATTGCACTATCTTGGCTAAAAGGTCAATGGAGGAGCGCTTTTTGACGCAGTCTGTGCTGGCTGTGTCCCTTGATTGTGTATACTGAAATTCCTCTGGCTTCAGCTGTGGTAACTGTTCGACTCTAAGAGCGAGCTCATCGCGCTCATGAATCAGCATAGCTAGAAGCTTCTTCTTATCCTCCAACTCTGCTGCTTGAAGCTCGAGTTGAGCTTCCAATAACTTTTCATTCTTGGATGGAGCAAACGTTTGTAGGGAAGTATCCGTGGCGTATTGCAGATTTGCAAGTTTCTGCAACTTGGTTTCCAATGTCGATATCAAATCATCTTGTTTTGCAATAATCAAATCCTTGTGTTTGGTCTTTAGGCGTTCTTTTTCAAGTTCGCCTAGAAAATGAGCGATAGTCTGTTGTGCTGATTGTTCATTGAGCAGGATCTGCTGCTCTAATGCCTCTATTTGACTGTCGCGGCTGAACTCCTGGACATCATCGCCATCTTCCACAAAGTCGGATGCATAGCCCTCTATAAGTTTGTTCAAGATATCGCTGTTTGTTGATAGACGTTGCAGAGAACGACCTTTTAATTCCTGGATTCTTCCGTTCAGCTCCTCAATGCAATGTTCATATGTCTTGGTTTGTAGCTTCAATGTGGATTTCATGGTCAAATCAAGCCTTTTGTACCGATTTTCAGCAGCAGTACATTGCTGGACCGCCTGTTCGTACATGTCGATCAACTCGTCTGACAAAATATGGATTGTTGAGCGATTTTCAGTGTAATTTCTTTGTGAATAGCGCAATTTGCTCTTGGGAGAAGGAGAAGGTGGTGGTGTGAATGGCGAGATTGTATGGTTGGAATAGCTGGATTTGCAGGCATTTTCCGTGCTTTGTTGATGAAGATGCTGATTTAGTTGTTGTGTAGATAGATCTAAGCTCTTCTTCCGATGTACACTGAATCTTTGACTACTATGACTAGCTCTGTCATAAGTAGCCATTGCTGTTTGGACCTTCATTTGAGGCTTCATCTTTCAATGTGTCAAAAGTATGTAAACGAAAAGCAAAAGACAGATACCAGATAGTTGCAAAAATATCATTTCATAAAGTTAGATTAAGATGTTTTGCTGTGGTTCATTTTCCACGTTCCATGTTGTTCCGCATTGATTTTAATTAATTAACATATTAGTTTTGCATCAGAGCATGGATTATATATACTATGATTTTTTTTTTTTTTTTTTTTTTTTTTTTTTGCATGGTTGGTATCATACCAAGTCTAGAAATTCACGTGTGAATAATTGACCATTTCAAGGCAGATGTGTTTCATCGTTGCTTGTCGATCACAAATCAATGAGCTTCCTGTATTGATAACGCGAATCTTACATTGGACAGCTGTCAAACTTTCATTTCAGATGAGATGACCATTAATCATTACGAGCCTTTCGACACTTTGGGTGGTTTCCTGATCTACGCTTCACTTCGGTGGAAATCAATCTATGTTCAAACGGCTCGCACTGTCGCGGGCCATTGGCTAATATTGCAAAATTAATATAGCTAAAATGCTAGAAGAACCCTGATTGTTGATTGATATAAAATTACTAATCGTATGAGTGTTTATGCTTCGGATCGTTCTCTACCTTCGTTTCGTTTCGGTGAAAACCAACTTGTACAGCAGCAGCAGCTCGCGCTACCGATTGGCCTTGCGTATCTTATCAAAATACTACTGCTTTCATGTTGACCCTCTACTTACACATGAAACCCCTTTATATTATCTGTGGATCTGATTCTTATGTGATGCTCTACATCCATATACACGTAGCTACTTCATATATGGGCAAGTACCATACAGATGTTAGCCCTTTTTAGTCAAGAGTGTACCTACTACAGCAAAACTTGAGTGCCTTTGAGCTGCGTTTTCTTGCGTTCAAGGCCGTTTTAGATGGCCAGAATAGCACCAAACAGTTGCTCTCATCTGGCTGCTACTTACTGACACCTTTGCTCAACTATTTGGGGACCAAAGAAACATGGCCAAAAATCGACCAAAAAGCATGAAGTACCCCTTATGGTTTTCATTGAAAATCAAACGATCGCATTTTTCACCTTGATAACGAAGAATTTTACTATGGTATATCTTGAATCAAAATGTTTCTATCGATCGAATGTAACTCCTGAAACCATCTTTGTGGGACTTTGATATGGAACATCTCGACTTTTCGGCCAGAAACCTCTTTTCATATTTTCATAAATTGTTTGATAAGTTTATTCAAAACATCTATCCTATTGGGTACCATTGGATGCGCCTCAAAAAGCACTCCAAGAAAGTGTAAGGAAGCATTGGGTGATTATCATGTTTTATATAGTCGAATATGGTAGAAGAGATCAATCAAGTCGAAAAATACCAACATTTGGCCAATCTGCAACAGACTAACTTTCTGGGTTTGAATTAATTTTGGCTTGTGGGGTAGGCTGGCAAACTCAATGCCCTTCTAACAATCATGAAGGCAATACAGTAGTAGATGCTTTTGAAGCGTATGGAAAGTAGGTGGAAAATTACATACCGCTATCGTTAGTCATGCTATTCTTCTTGTGTTCTATATTTAATAGTGCCAGTCTACCAAAACACTTGCCAGATCAACTTCTCTCCTTCTTGAGGCTTTGAAAGTGTCTAGGGACTGAACATTTATTATGTTATGATGATATAAATTGGCTGCATCTTATAACCAGAAGATTATGGCTTTGCTGATGCTATTGGCATGAATTCTTTACCGAAAAATGCTGGTTACAAATCATTAAAAATATATATACAACGTCTATTGGATCAAGAGCCAGTACCATAAAGCGCTGTTCAACGATGAAAGATCATTGTCTACTTACAACCATTGCAGCTGATATTAACAGGTTTGATTTAATCAACTTGAGCATCTGTTATAATCTTCAAATCAGACGTACAAATGTTTCCAATGAGTGAGCTGAGATCATGCTTACAATGCAAAACCAGATGGCTACTCTCATCATTGCACAATCTGCTATGATTTTGACATGATATATTTCCTTTATTCAAGGAAGCATCAATTACCAATGTGATGTGACTCAGAGCTAAAAGACAAATGATGGTTTATAGTATCCGTCAAACATTGGACAACATTGCATTTAAATAGGCCAACATGTCATATAATCAAAATGGTTTTTGCAGCAATCAGTAGCTTGTACCTGATGATAGCCCTTGGTTTACTTGAATCCATCAAGGATGAGACCTTAATCTGCTTCATCAGAAATGTCGGACTGGGAGTCACAAAATTTCACCATTTCGGTCAGTGGACAACTGGGCAGAAAGTAGACTTCCCGATCAGTATGAACTAGGAAAGCGGCCACCACAAGCGGTTACAAACCTTCTCTCATCACCACATTGTAAGTAGACCACATCCAGTATGGGGATAACATGGAACAAGAGGAGAGAAGAGCGTGCGATAACATTAGATGGATGAGATGGATGGATGGATTTTCGAGATTTTAGAGATCCATCATTGGAAGCGAAAAAAAAAAAAATACAGACATGTCCATGAGAGGGATGGGAGGGATGGAAGAACAAAGCAACAGAATAGACTTGGAAAGAGGGAACGTCTTTTAGTGAAATAATCAATATTGACGTACTCTATTCAATTTCAATATAGAAGGCACAAATATGCTTGTATCTAAGCAAAACAGAAAGGTTATCTACGAAGCTCTCTTCAAGGGTAAAGTAGACGATTTCCATCAAATGACAGCTCTCAGCAACTTGACATGCATTGAAATTAAACAGAAATATTGATGTTTCATCTATTTTAGACGGTGCTTTAGTCGCTCCCAAGGATTACAACCTTCCCAAGCACGCTGACCTCGATGTCCCTAACCTTGAAGTCATCAAGATCATGCAATCTTTGACCTCCAAGGGTTTCGTCAAGACCCAATTCTCTTGGCAATGGTACTACTATACTCTCACTGATGAGGGTATCGATTATCTCCGTGAATGTAAGCATGCTTGTTATACAGGTGATTGAAGAGAACGACCATATATTGATCATCCTCAATCTAGATCTTCACTTGCCTCAAGAAATTGTTCCCGCTACCTTGAAGAAGTCTGCTCGTCCCGCTGCTCCCCGTCGTGCCTGTAAGTACTACTGTAAAAGATGAGAATTCATGTATTCATTGCTCATGTGTCATATTAGTCGGCGGTGAGGGTCGTGAAAACCGTGGTCCCCGTGGTGATCGTGGTGATTACAGACGCAAGGAAGGCGCCAACGGTGACTTCAAGCCTGAATTCCGTGGTGGTCTCGGTAAGTAATAACGAATATTAGCATTTGCAAGTGTTATTGACATTTGATCCACGGTTAGGTCGTGGTAACCGCGAATAAATCGTTTGTTTGATTTGAATTTATCTCTTTTTTTTTTTTAATACATTAAAATCAATGGCAACTCTAAAAGCCTATTATCACTTTTAATTTATTTGCCATTATTCTTGACATTGACTTGATTGCTTTGACCCTTCGATATGTAAATATACCACATCAAATGTCCTGGTTGTCTTTAATGCAGGATGATTGATAGAGCAAAAAGGTTTACATGTCAATGTCACGTGTGCTCCGGACCATCTTATAAGGTCCGATCCGGCTTTTGATTCCAGATGGATAACGTTAATGAGGTTGAAGCATCCTCCAAGGGTCTGGTAAGTTCTTCTCTTCAACACAAAGGTAATGCATCCATCTAGTATTGCAGTGATATGTCAACATTTATGATGATGGTTGGGAGGATATGTGTACAGCAACGATGATGAACACTCTGTCAACAACAACATTGGATCTTGAATGATGATGGATGCTGATTGAATGGATGCAAATCTCGGCCAGTAGATGATAACCAACCTTCCAGCAGCACCCTTTACATGTACATCTTTCCAATGCTGATTCATTTACTTGTTGAAATACTCGCTGCAAACTATCGCTCTCAATAGAACGTGAAACTCACATACATTGTCCTTGTTTAGAATATAAAATGGGTCGTCGTCCTGCTCGTTGTTATCGTTACTGTAAGAACAAGCCTTACCCCAAGTCCAGATACTGTCGTGGTGTCCCTGATGCCAAGCTCAGAATCTACGATTTAGGTCGTAAGAAGGCATCTGTTGACGATTTCCCTCTTTGTGTCCACTTGGTCTCCAACGAATACGAACAATTGTCTGCCGAAGCTCTTGAAGCTGGTCGTATTTGTGCCAACAAGTACATGTCCAAGACCTCTGGTAAGGACTCCTTCCACATGCGTATCCGTGTCCACCCTTACCATGTCACCCGTATCAACAAAATGTTGTCTTGTGCTGGTGCCGATAGATTGCAAACTGGTATGCGTGGTGCTTTCGGTAAGCCTAACGGTCTTGTCGCTCGTGTCAACATTGGTCAAATCATCTTCTCTGTCCGTACCAAGGACTCCAACAAGGCTGTTGTTATTGAAGCTTTGAGACGTTGTAAGTACAAGTTCCCTGGTCAACAAAAGATCATTATCTCCAAGAAGTGGGGTTTCACTCCTCTTGCCCGTGCTGAATATGTTGAAGCTCGTGCTGCTGGTAAGCTCAGACCTGATGGTTGTTACGTCAAGTTTGTTCCTCAAAGAGGTCCTCTCGCCAACTACTTCAAGGAAGCTAGCAAGGTTTAAATTAAATCTTAACATTTAATAAAAACTCTCTTGCAATTTGATATAAATGCAACGACTGTAGTAGCCGGTATGTTCAAGGTCAATCTGGTTTTAGGAGGTGGAATGAAAGATCAAAGACTTGAGTAAATAAAACCAGTGCTCGCCCTTCCTGTCAGACTCAAAATCATTTATGGCCATCATAAGAAAGACATACTGGCCAAACGCCAATCCCAATTTAACCACCGACATGCTTTTCATATTCCAGATTGGCCAGATTCTGTTCAAATTCGACTCAAATTATCTGTTTTGTAGAATTCGACTATATAAGTCGTAATGCTGGGCACATCCTTCCTTAAACTTTCTTGGAGTGTTTTTTGAGGCGCATTCAATGGTACCCAATAGGATAGATGTTTTGAATAAACTTATCAAACAATTTATGAAAATATGAAAAGAGGTTTTTGGCCGAAAAGTCGAGATGTTCCATATCAAAGTCCCACAAAGATGGTTTCAGGAGTTACATTCGATCGATAGAAACATTTTAATTCAAGATATACCATAGTAAAAGTCTTCGTTATCAAGGTGAAAAATGCGATTGTTTGATTTTCAATGAAAACCATAAGGGGTACTTCATGCTTTTTGGTCGATTTTTGGCCATGTTTCTTTGGTCCCCAAATAGTTGAGCAAAGGTGTCAGAAAGTAGCAGCCAGATGAGAGCAACTGTTTGGTGCTATTCTGGCAATCTAAAACGGCTTCTAGCACGAGAAATCACTGCTCAAATGCACCCAATTTTCACTGGATTTTGCATACGCTCGAGTGATGAGAACAAGTACAAGTATGCTGTCTATCCTTATACAAACTTTTCGTATTAATATGGGTACATACTACTCGAAAAGAGTCAGATCCACAGTTACCAGTGGGCTTTGATAGGGTCTCACTAATAATGAAGAGTCTAAATTTGAGATTTCAGCTTATAATAGCAAGATCCAATGGCTGATGCGATCATAAAGATGGGGCATGCTTGCTATAATATGTCTTTCACGTTTCTGCAAAAGGAATCAACGAATAAACCGTAAACTCTATGAATATTTGATGTAGAGATGTCTCATATATCTATCTTGTTATATGCTCTCGAATTACTGAATCACGACACTAGCAGGCTCTAGTCGTTAACGCTTGCATTAACTTAAACTGATTTGGAGTAACCAAGCAACCACTCACCTGTGACGATTGGGACATGTTGATGACGCATTTAAAGAATGCGTAACTTGAAAGTGATCAAAAAGCATACGCGTAAATCCAGTACCTTCATCATCTTTCTTTTGCAACACATTTTATACATCAACAAGTTTTTCTCTACAAAATGGTTATGGAAGCCTCAATGATTGTGTAAATATTTAAAGATAACGTAGAAACACAGGTTGACTACGCATGTACTAAGACAAAAAATCATGTTTTCATAGCGTCGACAATTCCGAATGGATGCGTAATGGCGATTACTCTCCTACTCGATTAGTTGCACAGAACGAAGCCGTCAACCTCATCTTTTCCTCAAAGACACAGTCGAATCCCGAGAATACGGTTGGACTCATGACAGCAGCTGGAAAGGGACCTGAGGTTCTTGTTACATTATCCACTGATGTCGGTAAGATTCTGACTGCCTTGCACGCCGTCAAAGCAGGTGGTCAACCTAACTTTTTGACCAGCGTGCAGATTGCATCGGTAACGTACACATAAAGGAAAAGATGGGAATAGATGTGTTAATTGGTATTTTTACTTGTATAGCTTGCTTTGAAACATAGACAAAACAGAAACCAACGTCAAAGAATCATTGTATTTGTGGGTAGTCCTCTTGAGAGCGATGAAAAGGCATTGGTCAAACTCGCCAAGAAGCTCAAAAAGAACAATGTCGCAGTCGATATCATCAATTTTGGTGAAGAAGCTGAAAATACCTCTCGATTGGAAGCCTTTATCAACAATGTCAACAACAGCGATAACAGCCATCTCGTCACTATTCCTCCAGGACCTCATCTTTTGAGCGATATGCTCATCTCTACTCCTATTATCGCAGGTGAAGACGGTGGCGCTGGTAACTTTGGCGCCAGTAGTGGTGGTGATTTCGAGTTTGGTATCGATCCCAGTCTTGATCCCGAGCTTGCTTTGGTAAGATGGATCGTCTATGTGTGTATATCTACAGATCTAACCGAGAATGTAGGCCTTACGTATTTCACTCGAAGAAGAAAAAGCACGCCAAGAAGCAGAGGCAGCAAAGAATGGAACCAGCACAAAGGAAGGAGAATCCTCTTCTTCAGCCATGGCAATAGATACACCACAACAACATCAACAACAACACGATGAGACGGATGAGGATGCTGAGCTCCAAGCTGCTTTAGCAATGTCCATGAACGATGCTGCTGGCTCTAGTGCTCATACTCAAGAGGAAGACGAGACTATGGAAGATTTAAATGAGGATGATGCACTTCAAAGAGCACTGCAAATGTCCATGAACGATGGAGGAAATGCAAATGACGATGATGAAATGATGTCGGCAGTTTTAGGTTCTTTACCTGGTGTTGATAAGAATGATGAGCGTATTCAAAAGGCTTTGGAGGATTTGGAAAAGAAGAAGAAGGATGAAAAGAAATAGGATTCTTACAGTTTTATCAGTCGTGTTGAAAATAAAGAAAGCATAATTTTTGGATATGTATTATGTGTGAATTGGAAAGCAGTGTTTAGACATGCTTTTCATTAAATGCGCATTTGTCTCTCTGAGATTGCTTATAGCAACTTACATGTACGCTTTTTCAATGGCATGAATACTTCTGCAATTGAACACACTCTCATTCTTGAAGCAGGAAGAAGGGTTACGACTCAAGAAAGCATACATCTGACATAGCATTCATTCCACTCAGCATTCATGTAGCAACAAATCCAGTCACCAATGATGTGCGAGATGGGATGATGTAGCTGAATGTGTGGAGGAAATGTAACTCGAGTTTCGTAAATTACGAGTTCTTTTTCTTTTTTCCATTCTTTACAACTAAAACAAGCTATGAGTGCCTCTATGATGAGCCCTGTTCCCATCGAGGACCAAGCCAAACTTTTAGATGAAGTTCTAAACGTGGTTAAAGTACAAGCTCATTTGATGAAAAAGTGTTTGGTAAGTGGCAACCCGAGAAACGACGAGAGACAGCTTATCAATAGGGTTATACTTGCTCTTGTAGGAAAACAACAAGCTCATGGATGGCTTGAAGCACTGTTCCAACATGCTCGCTGAACTGAGAACATCTGCGTTGACACCCAAGAACTATTATGAGCTCTGTGAGTGCGCATGCGCTGTAGGTTTTCGTGCTGGGAAACTAACACAATGCGCATCATGTAGACATGTCCATCTTTGATGCCATGCGCCATTTAACCGCCTTCTTGACGGAAGCACACACTGCTGGCCGTCATCATTTAGCCGACTTGTACGAACTAGTTCAATATGCAGGCAATATCGTGCCTCGTCTCTATTTGATGATTACTGTAGGTGCTGCATATATGAGTATGCCCGATGCTCCTGTTCGTGAAATTATGCGCGATATGATGGAAATGACAAGAGGTGTTCAGCACCCTATTCGTGGCCTGTTTTTGAGATATTATCTTAGTAGCATGACCCGTGATCATTTACCCGTGGGTGAAGGCTCTGGGTAAGTTATTTTGCTTTAATACAAAAAGTTGTGTGTGTGCTCATAACGGCAACAGACCTGAAGGCAATGTGTTTGAATCCATCAACTTTATCCTGACCAACTTTACCGAAATGAACAAGCTGTGGGTTAGATTACAGCATCAAGGTCATTCCCGTGATCGCGAGAAGCGTGAAGCAGAGCGCAAAGAGTTGCGTATCTTGGTGGGCACAAACTTGGTGCGTTTGAGTCAGTTGGATGGTGTTGACCTCAAGATTTATCAAAAGGTAGTGTAGTCGCTTTGGAGGGCGAGAAATAGCTTAGAAAGATACCAATTTACGTTCATTATAGGACATTCTTCCCGGCATCTTGGATCAAGTTGTTAGCTGTCGTGATGTAATCGCTCAAGAATATCTCATGGAAGTCATCACTCAAGTCTTTCCCGACGATTTCCATCTTCGTACATTGCAACCCTTCCTTTCCGCCACTGCTCAATTGCATCCTAAAGTCAATGTCAAGCAAATCATTATTTCATTGATTGACCGTTTAGCTGCCTTTGCTGCTCGTGAAGCTGAAGGAGAAGAACCTAACGATGCCAAAAAGCAAAGAGAGGAGAATATTCGCCGTATTGCTCAAGAGAGAAAGAGAAAATTGCAAGGTCTTCAGCCCGAGGAGGAGGAAGAAGAAGAAGAAGAGGAGGAGCAGGAAGCTGAGCAAAAGGCAGAAGAGGTAGAAGCAGACGTAGCAGCAGTAGAGGAGGAGGAACAGCAAGTGCCCTCCAAAGATGAAGAAGCTATTGATGATACGCCTTTGGGCGGCGAGCAGGAAGTAGCAGACAACGTGGAGGCTGAAGATGCCAAGGCCGACGAGACAGAGCTCAAGGAGGAAAAGACTGTCGAAACCGGTGATTTGGTCCAAGCAGAAGAGGAGGATACTGTCAAGAAGGTGCGCGGTATCCCTGAAGATGTTGAACTCTTTGTTGTCTTTTGGGGTCAAATTGTAGAGCTTGTCAAGGTAAGCAACCCACACGTACACTGCATAAACCTGATGATCTAACTCACGCTCATAAATGTGCAGGCTCGCCCTGACCTCTCCATTCAAGATTTGACTGCCTTGCTGGTATCATTAATCAACTTGTCTCTATCGTGCTACCCCGAAAAGATTGACTATGTGGATCAAATTCTTGCTTATGCCAAGGACAAGGTACTCGAGTTTTCTGATTCTCCTGATCTTCATTCCAAGGCCACCGAAGCCAATCTCTTGGGATTGCTCTTGGCTCCTATCCAACACTACAGCTCCGCATTGTACTTGTTAGCATTAGCCAACTACCAGCCCTTATTGGCTCTTCAACCTTACCCCACACGTCAACAAGCTGCCTACACTGTCGTCAATAGCATCTTGAGGAATGCTACCATCATTGATATACCAGAGGATGTGCACGGTGTGCTTGAATTGTGCGATGTGTTGTTGCGTGATCAAAAGGACGCCCCTGTGACAGCAGCACCTCAACCTACGTATGGTGGTGGGCGTCAAAAGCACGCAGAATTGAGTTTGGAGCAAGAAGAGTACATTGAAAAGCAAGGCTTGCTCGCTAGAATGGTCCATCTGTTCCAATCTGAAAGTGAAGATACACAGTTCTTGCTGTTATCTGCTGCTAGAAAGCAGTTTGGTGACGGTGGCGATCGCATTCGATACACATTCCCTCCACTCATTGTCTCTGCTGTCAAATTGGCTAGACGCTACAAGTTCCAAGAAGAGCAAGATGAAATCTGGGAAAAGAAGACATCTGCACTGTTCCGTTTCATTCATCAAGTGATTTCTGCATTGTATCACAAGTGCGAAGTAGCTGACAACTGTCTTCATTTGTTCCTGTTGGCGGGCCAAAGTGCGGATGAATGTGGGTTTGAGGAAATCGCCTATGAATTCTTTGTGGAGGCTTTCACTATTTATGAAGAATCCATCTCGGAATCCCGTGCTCAGTTCCAAGCCATTACTTGCATCATTGGCGCTCTGCAACAAACGCGTGTGTTCTCTGTAGATAACTATGATACATTGATCACCAAGGCCGCTTTGCATAGCAGTAAACTCTTGAAGAAGCCTGACCAATGTCGCGGCGTCTACCTCTCTTCTCATCTCTGGTGGGCTACTGAGCGTGGCATCACCGAGTCTGATCTTCCTGAAGGAGAAAAAGCTACCTTATTCAGAGATGGCAAGCGTGCTCTTGAATGTCTTCAAAAGGCATTGAAGATTGCTGATAGCTGCATGGATCCTGTTACCAACGTCGAGCTATTTGTTGAGATTTTGAATCGTTACATTTACTACTTTGAAAAGGGCAATGAGGCTGTAAGTGAGAATAGAATGGGATTCTATATAAGCATTACTCATGATTCTAACATTTTGTTTAGGTTACTGTCAAGTATTTGAACGGTTTGATCGACCTCATCAACACCAACTTGAGCAACATGGACAATCCTGATCAACACCCTCCTACCTCCAACTCTTCTTCTCTGGTCGAGCATGAAGGCCTTGTCTCTGACTATGTCCGTCGTCATTTCCGTGCCACTCTTTTGCACTTGCAAACTCGCAAAGAGCAATCTGCTCGCACTGACTTTCAAGGGCCCAAGTATGATGAATTAGATCTTGGAGATATCTAAATACTACAATGATTTTTGTGTACCATAATATACTCTAATAAACTCATTTTATAATGATTGTAACCGAATGGATTTATTAACGCACACGGTTGATTTTACAAGACATATTTGAAACTGTAATGACGATCGCCTACAAGATCCATACCACCATACTTATGAATCTCAAGCTCTCTTTGTTCTTCTGAAAGTCTGCTTCTTCTCTTGTTTTCACGAGCGAGCAAGATACGTAAAAGAATCACCAGGACGGTTTGGCCAGCCATACAACTGAATGCAATGGTATTACCCGCAAAATAATGAGGGGGGTCTACACTTTGAATTAGTAGTGTTGCCTTTGCAACAGAAATGCTCAAACCTTACCATAGTAAATTTGTCCACCAATGGCACCACCAATTGTACCAAAACTAACAATAGCAGCTGATGCAACAGCACGACGAGTGAGGCCACCGCTACAATCAATGCATTAATACATGTTGCGTATAAAAAAAGGAAGGTTCAACTTACTAATTGTTATTGAACCATGCTACCTTGACAGCAACGTTTCCATAGACTGAAATGGTGACTAAACAAGCTGCAATGTAGTTTCCAGCTACATTATCTGAAGAGAGGAACATCAACAGCAAGAACCCAAGTAGAGCAATCGAGTTTAATCCAACCATGTGATAAGCTCTTTCAAAGTATTTATCTATAATAACGTAAATCATGAGCCACTCTAGCAATATTTAGTCAATGGATTGGCTATATACCTGAACTCCAACTGATGGCCACCGTTGCCAAGAATGCCAAAAAGTAGGGTGGTACTGTCAATGCTTGAGCTACAGGTTTAGACCATGTACCCATATTCGCTACAATGGAAGGCAGGAAGAGAGTAACGCCTTGTAAGGCAACTGTGCCCAAGATGTAGATGCACATGTAGATATACGTTTTCCAATCTGTAAACACGGAAACAACTTGAGCCCATGACCAAGAGTGATCATTAGAAGCGCCAGCATCTATTTCATAGTAGAAAATTTAGTATTGGATAAAACGCATGAGTTGACGTTGCATACCATTTGCTAATCTGTTGACGGCATGTTCTCTTTCTTCCTCAGTCAAAAATCTAGCTGTTTCTGGCTTATTGGGGAGGTACCAAGCAGACACGACTGCCAGCAAAATGGAGGGAACACCTTCGATAATGAAAAGCCATTGCCATGTAGCCAAGGCATCGTTCTTGATTTGACTGATACCAAAAGCAATCAAACCACCAAATGCGCCTGCCAAACTAGAAAAAGACCAAAAGAAACCAATGCGACGACCATATTCTTTGCGAGTATACCAGAGAGACATGAAATAAATGACACCAGGGAAGAAGCCTGCAATAATCTAGGTGAGTAACAGCAATGAGAAGCACATAAGAGGGTCTTTTTACCAGCTTCGAATAAACCTAACAGAAATCGACAGATGGCAAGACCTGCAAAGCTTGTACTTGCAGCCATGGCAGTTGCTACAGCGCCCCAACAGCTATAAGAAATGTATGAGCCAATGAGCAAGCACAAGATATCATATAGAATACATACAACATCAGAATACCAAGCCAATGTGATGGACGCCAGCGTCTCATGATAATGTTGGAGGGGAGATCAAAGATAACATAGGAGAAGTAAAAGATGGACAGAGACCATTGGTATTCTGATTTTGACATGTGCAAATCTTCTTCGAGACCACCTAGTTTTGCGTTACCAATGTTGGATCTATAGGCAGTGTGAATCATTTGAATAAAGAGATCAAGGCTGTATTCATGTCTACTTGCCTGTCAATGTAACTTAAAAGATACAGTACACATAACAATGGCAGTAATCTCCTGTCCAATTTTCTGTATACTCAACGTGTAAGAGAAGTGCTTCAATTTCAAAGAAAGGTGGCTATATACATACTTGACAAGTCTCTTGTTGAGCCTATTGTCTTCCTTGTAGGATAGATTCTCCAATTGTTCAATGGATGTCTCTTCTTTCATGGCAACATCAGCAGGCACCACCTCAGCAATCGACTCGCTTTTGTTTGAAACAGTCTTTTGTGTGATTTCTGTCATGATTCAAAATAAATATCCAGCCAAAGATTGAAGAAAAAATAGGCATAGTAGAGTAATTCATGGCCTATTTATATGCAGAAATCTTAACCCCTTTATCGATTTAGCTACTGTTTCAATGCATAAATTAATACCTTAGTCACTCTACTGCAAGTCCGTTCCCGGGCGAACTTTTTTTCTTTTTCATCAATCTCCCGTTCTTCCCACCACTGCTTCAGATCTTATCAGCATCGCGTATTCGTTTTGGGTATGAGTAAGGCTCTTTGGGTAGTAGATGCTGGATGTATTTTGTTGATCTATATCACGTAAATTGATGTTGCCTTGTGAAATCTACTATAACTTGAAACATTTGATATAGAAATGCACTGATCTGTCCCAAAGTGTCACTGAAGTTTGAATCAAACTATAATATCCTAAATGTGGTATTATTTCCTTTTCTCGGTTTAATTTCCCCACATCAAACAGGAAATCTTCGGCTAGAAACGAGTTCACATTGCACAGGGTCGTCCCAAACCAATGATTCGATCCATCAAATCTTGTATTCAGTCGTCTGTGAATTTTATCTCAAATGTCGTTATCGTTCAAGTCTTACAATGTGACAATAAAGTTCAAAAAACACTCTCTGATCCAGGGTCGCCACGGCAAGACTGATTAATCCGTGAAGGCGTGTGAACCACTCTAGACGGTATCATTGTGTAATGACTCGAACGAAACGGCTGTTGGGATTGGAGAAGATGGTATATGCACCATTTTCGTGATGAGAATTATATGCATAAGTAACAATAACATGGTGACATTTAGGCGCATCTCATAGCACACTTTTCATTGGAAAAAATCACACACACACACACACAATGATTACTAGCTCTAGATCTTGAATTTCATATTGATCTAGTCATGCTCTAAGGTTCCACATCTTTTATAAGCAGATTGCTTACATAAGGCTATCAACTGACCTCAAAATAGACCCTATTTCATTACAGTAAAACCAATTTATTATCATAGAACCAATGAGTTAGAGGAGAAATACAGATGCCATCAAACATTCTGCTGTAAATAATCAACTGGCGAGCAAAGATTTCATTCTCTGAATTCAAATCAACAGAATGGTAGCATATCTAAAGCTATTGCTCTCCTTTACAGCAACATCGCTCAAGCCTGTAGACAATGCGCACCATCTCCACCTGCAAAGATACACCAACCCGTGATACGAAGCCTGAAACCTCTTGAAGTTGGTGTCGTTTAATGACAAAAATGATGAGCGGCCTACTTCGATGAGCATCAGTAACGCTCTTCTCCAGCTCGCTCATGTTATGGCTTCTAGTATCAATAGATTCCCTCAAGTTTTGCTACGTATCACTTAATACACAAGCGATGCACAGGGCGACGACATGGATCCAATAAAAGTGAATTTCCAAAATCACTCAAATCGAATGTGTATGGATATATTCGCCAAAGTAATACATCATTTTGACCAAAAAGACTACGTAAAATTGGTGTTTACAGACATGGTGCTTTGGGATTCGTTCACGCTATCCACCGAGACACTCAATCAAAATTCAAGCAAGCTACAACTGGAGTTCGAGAAAGCGGCACTTGTTGAAGACATTTTTCCTGGACTATCATCACGGCTGGTAGAATTGAACACATTTTGATTACTATGTGCGATATTTATATGGATGAAGCCTACACTATGAAAGTATTCCTACCATCAACTAGAATACACAGGTTGGGTTTGGTAATTACAGCATCACATCGTATGCAACAAACAGTCTTTCAATGAAGCGTATGCTCAGTTTTTTGAAACGTTTGCTTCAGAACGTCGATTTACAGTAAAGATTTAGGCAAGGTCAGACACACAGGTCATATAGAGAAAAGGGAATGAATCAAAACGATCTAAAAAAAGAGGTGTTACAGTCAATGGAACACAAGACAACCCTTTGATCTGGATCAAGTGTCTAGAACTGAGAGAGTTTATGGTAACTGAGAGGGCCAAGGATAGATATGAACTGCTTTAATAAAGGATTTCACTTTGCAATAGACGGTGAAACTCTTTAGTACCTCTACTAAAGTGTTCACTCCAGGTGTCATTCTGAAAGAGTGGCTATGTTGCGTTTCAAAATAAGCTTCAGATTTGGATGCCTATTTTGCTACGATTAAATTACACGCCAATATGATAAGGCGCACAAAACGCAAATACATTAGTAAGGCTATGCGATAGCACTTTTCAATCCACAATCCCTTCCTTATTAGCTTAGAAGGTGTGGATGGTCTCTAGGCAGGCTATCAGCATGCAGCCAAAATTGATTCAATTTCCGCTTGTCAAATTTTTCAAGATTTGCTAATTTTTCAATTTTTTGAGACTCGATTCGACCTATTTCGCAAGATTCAACTATGTATAATATGATGATAACCCCATGCTTCTTTAAGCTTCCTTGGAGTGATTTTCAAGGCGCATCCAGTGGTGCAAAGTAAAATAGATGTTTTGAGTAAACTTAATGAGCAATTTACGAAAATATGAAATGAGGTTTCTGGCCAAAAAGTCGAGCTTTTTCATGTCAAGGTCTTACAAAGATGATTTCAGGGGTTACGTTAGATCGATAGAAACATTTTGATTCAAGATATACCATAGTAAAAGTCTTCAATTTCGAGGTGAAAAATGCAATTGTTTGATTTTCGATGAAAGCCAAGGGGTGCCTTATGCTTTTTGGTCAAATTTTGGCCATGTTTTTTTGATCCCCTAAAAGTTGAGCAAAGGTGTCAGAAAGTAACTGCCAGATGAGAGCAACTGTTTGGTGCTATTCTGACGATCTAAAACGACTTCTAACATGAGAAATCATTGCCCAAATGTATCTAAATTTTAATGTATTTCGTACTTCACTGAGGAGTAAGAGGGGATAATGTGGCCCTATCTCGGGCTATGTTTGCCACTGGGGCTTTCTTACTCAAGGTTGAAATAGAGGCAAGAACACGCATTACGAAAAGACAAGGCAGTAGAGCGATTGAAACACGAAATCCAGCAACTGTTTGATCTAGAGGAACGCGAGGAATTCTTGATCTGGCTCAAATTTAGAGTGTTGAATAACTATATGATGGATGATCCAAGAGAATGCTCTGCAAGCGGCGATGGCTTTATTGAAAATTTTTAAATCAGTGCAGTAGTTATGCTACTATGTTAGGCAATGCTAATGCTGCACATGTATCATCAACTTTTGACATTACTGGTATTTACCCCCAACAGTTAGTCGTGAATTCATGGAGTTTGCTTTATATCAACGCTTCATTGCTTTCTGTTAGATCATTACAACAATCGCAAAAGTATGTCAGTAAGGTCTTGGGATAAACTTTCTACGAAGGTGTTGCGCCGAACCTTTGAACAGCTCCCGCATGATATAGTAATGACGAATCATAAGATGATTTTCTGATATGGATCAAGCTCAAGAAACTTGAATAATTTGCTATTGAAAAAGAAGACTCTATGGAGGAAGTGCTTTCTAGCAACATGGCTATAGTAAAAATGATTTGAAATGGATCCGAGATCACAAAAACATTGTACACATCAAACCATAAATTTATTTGAGTATTCATGCCCAGCAGCCATTCAATTCAAATTTATGCCCTTCGTTTTCTCTTTTACACGACCTCTTTCAACTCGTTTTTCATCATGGCAAGCAGCAGCAAAGATTGGGATAAACTTCCGTTTGAAATTCTTCTCAACATGTTTGGATACGTTCACAATGGAAAACTTGAAACTATTCACAGACTAATAGCGCAGAAATATTTGTCCAATATGAAGGATATGAAGGATATGAAGCAATGTCAACTTGTGTGTAAGGGGTGGGCAAGAGCTGCTCAAAAGACCATATATGAACAGATCCACTTGGGAAGAAACCTTCAACAATTTACATGCACCATTACCAGCTACAATCCTGATCTGGCAGCCTTGGTCAAGAGAGTATCTGTTGCAAATGATATTGACTCAACTGTCAACTGTTCAAATTGCGTTGCATCAGTCTTTACCCAATGTATTTATATCAATCATTTGTTAGTTGGCGGAAAAACAGCTGAAAAGCTTGTGTGGTCCTGGCTTTTGCTAGAAGATATGAAGCTGGAAAACCTCGAAGCTATCACTAATTACTTGTATCGCACCAACATGGATCTAGTTCTGTATTCGCTACTTGCAGTAAAGTTGAGGAAAACCTTGAAAACTCTCAAGGTTAGTTTAGCAGAAAACCAAGACACAACGTCTACAGTAAGCGAAAAACGCAGCTATGGGCACATCATTGAAAGGTTGAATTCGTTTTCATCGTTGGAGAATCTGATGATCACCAATGGCAATCCTCCCAGCTATCAGACATTGGATCAGGCCATTGACGATCGCTTAAAGACGTTACAGAAACTGACAATCAGCAAGCTAGAGTTGAATGGATGGCGAAAGGAGGTCATTCAATCAAATCAATCAATCAAGTGCCTAGAAATCTCATCCTTCAGAATTGATGATTCATCCCTTGGCTATTTGATATCCAAATTCAAAACTCTGGACAGTTTGAAAATCCTGTCACTGACGTACAAAGCGAAGGAAGTAGCAGAACAAGAGGAACACTGGACCGAATTGGCTCAACTGTGCACATCTGTGAAAGCATTCGCTATTAGCTTCGAGTTCAACGAAGTAAACATCAAATATCTCATGGACAAGTGCCTGGATATACTGCAAAGAACAGAATCTCACGAAAGACGGTTACGAATATTTTTATTCGACATATATACTCCTGCTGACAGGTCTCACGATTTCAGTCCACCCACAAATGAAGACATGCGTATGCCAGCAGTAACTATCCGTAAATCAAGCACTAGATTAAGCTTCATTGAGATTACTGGAAACACAGAGGCATTAAGGAATGCTATTATGAAACATATGGCCAACTATATACTCCTACGAGTGTGGATATAGACGATAGCCTTGCTAAAACAAAGTATCATCAGCTATTGACAATTTCGAATCAAAGACCCCCAAAGCTAAACCCTATTATTTCGACTTTTACAACAAGAGCGACATCAAGCAGTTTCTCACCAAAGAGTGCAATGGCAAGTATTGGGATGTTTTCAATACACTTCTCTTCTCGAAAAGTACCAGCATAAGCACACATGGCATTGTATTACCAAACATACCGTCTTCTTCATCGCAGATTGGTAGTGATCGAAAAGAATCAACCACAAACGAAATTGCTATCAGAGGCTCGATTGTATGTCCAGCAATTTTCCCAGAAATATCCAAAACCCCTACCATCGTTGAAAAGCTTCAGACTGGAATCAAATTGCTACTTGACTCGTCAGCCATATACCCTGAAGATATTTCTGCCAGCAACAGTAATACACCAACTGATATTAAGCATATCAACTACATGTAGCGATGCAATGAACAACATACATTACTTTTATGATGATGCCAATCAATGTACATTGGAAAACAGAGAGTTGGAAAACGCAGTGTCTCCAAGTGGTCAATACACATTAAAGATAGAAGCAAATTGAAAAACGTGCATTACCAAGAGGCTGAATGGAAAAACGATCGGCACAGTTGATTCAAAGCCTGAGGATGTCAACTGGGACAACAAAGATAATGTTTTGATTTGGATTCGGTGTAAAACTATAAAAAGGTTTAAAATATGTCATGGTGAGCAAGATTTGAAGGCAAGACAATATGAGCTCGACTAGGTTACGCAAGAATTGATTGGCACTGGCAGTAAAGATATATTTCTCTGGCAAATTGATCCCCAAGGAGCAATGAGATGGCACGCTACTATTACTGCTATTCTTCTCGACAGTTATAGTAGCATTTTGCACCAGTCGTTTTTAACAGACGATTACATTGTCCGTACAATGTAATAAGGTCTTTTGATGGACGTGATGATTGCCCATCTTGGTTTCATTTGGTGCAATATCCACCCAATCATATGATATAAAGATGGAGCCTCTGGCTTTGTATAAACTCATAGTGCGGGGTCCTTTAGGAAAACAACCACATTGTTTGCTGTAGCTAAGCCCATCCTCCACAGCTCTTTTCCTCTATTCCATCTTTCTATTAGAAAAATATCCCCCTACATTACTATTATGAGAGCCTACGTTTACGATAATCAAGACCCTGCGGACCAACGTGCTCCTCATGATTTGGGCATCGAAAAGACCCAAGCAGACCTGGAAAAGGTTGGTGTGTTGTACTGGCGTTTTGATGGGGAGGATGCCCTTGACAAGATCGACCAAGTTGCCAAAGAAAGAAGTTACAAGAACAGAGATACTGTGAGTATACGCATTTAGCAAACTGTTTAAGGTTTCATCTCATATTTGTTAATTAGATCGTCGTATCCCCTGATGCAATGGGCCCCATTTACGAGGAGAAAGTCAAATCATTCTTTGCCGAGTGAGTTTTTGCTCGCAATCAATAAATGGCGTATTTCTAATATCAGCTTGAATAGGCATCTCCATGAAGATGAAGAGATTCGTTATATTTTGGATGGTTCTGGATATTTCGATGTTCGCGATCAAGGAGATGTTTGGATCCGTATTTACATGGACAAAGGAGATATGATCATTTTGGTAAGTAGTGCACCTAATCCTTCATTTACACTTGACTCACGCTTTGCAACAGCCTGCTGGCATCTACCATAGATTCACCACTGACGAAAACAACTATATCAAAGCCATGAGATTATTCAAGGAGGAACCCAAGTGGACACCTCTTAACCGTATGTTACCTAGATACTTGCAAGCCATTTGCAGCTCTAACACTCACTCGCTTTTCTTTACAGGTCCTGTCGCCAGTGATAACAAATACCGAGCAGAATATGTCAGTTCTTACAATTTGACTAGTGCATAAACGATTTCTTTATTTATTGAACAAAAAGAAAGAGGGGCCCACAGTATTTATTTGGACATCTGTAAAGAGACGAAATTTGTATGAAATAAAGTGTTACATGTGCCTATTACTTATTACATACCATCATCTTGACAAATTCTTGATAATTAATTTGACCATCACCATCAACATCAGCTTCACGGATCATCTCATCGACTTCTTCTTCACTCATCTTCTCGCCAAGAGAAGTCATTACATGACGTAACTCTGCAGCAGAGATGTATCCATTGCCATCCTTATCAAAGACCTTGAAAGCTTCTTCAATCTCTTCTTGGGAGTCAGTGTCCTTCATCTTTCTAAAATTTGACAAAAGCCGTTTATACAAATTCCACTTTCTCCCTTGTTAATATGGTGTTAATTACCTAGCCAACATGGACAAGAACTCAGGAAAGTCGATATGGCCATTACCGTCACTGTCGACTTCGTTGATCTATAGCAAAACGTGTGAGTTGGTTTCGTGCATTTCAAAAGGAACCAACAGACCCATCCTCTTACCATGTCTTGGAGTTCAGCCTCGGTAGGGTTCAAATTCAAGGAACGCATAACAGTACCAAGCTCCTTTGTAGTAATAGAACCATCGCCATCTTTATCGAAAAGACTTGATAAACAATGAATATTTTACGTGATATCTCTTCAAATAATGGAGAAAGTGACTTACTTGAATGCTTCGCGGAATTCAGTGATTTGCTCTTCTGTAAGTTGATCGGCCTACATGTTTAAAATGTCCTTAGTTTTTGGATCAAACGCTAATAAAAGAAGAAACCCACTTACCATATTAAAAAAAAGGTTTTTAAGAAGAAGAAAGAAAAAAGAAAAGAAAGAAGAAAGGAAAAAAATTTGATATTTGTGCAAGGCACTGTACTTTTTTTTTGTTGTCCTGATTTCGCGTGACTAAATGTAGTACAAATTTGATGAATAAGATACCTTTTGTAAAGTACATCAAGCTTGTATGTAAGCCCATCTTGTGTTTACTGCTGCATACCTATACAGGAAATAATTTTGTTCCTGAATCAACTTGATTTACAGGAACTTTTTGAAAAGAGGAGTCTCAATCGTCAGTGGAGTACCGACTCTGATATTGATGTGAAGACGCTTTATACAAAGTCCATCATGCTTGAACGAACAAGAGACTCTACATAAGAAAAATCAAATGCTCTGGCTTTATTAGTTTACCGAATACCTGATTTCTTATTGTTTAAGTCAAGGCCATGATTGAAACACGCACTGAAGTCATGCCAGCAGGATGCTTTATGTGAAATTTGTATATGCATGTACCTTTCAGAACACAAACTGCTGCATCTCGCTCAGTAACAGACTTAAGTTTAATAGCTTTGCATTGCTTTACACCCAAGCTTGTTCGACTAGCTTTCAAACGCGAGAATAATTACCTAATGCGCCCTCATTATTATACAAGTGCTGGAGAAGTATATCCGCCGATGGTTGTGATGGGCGGCCAAGCAGATTTGCTATATTTATCGTGGCAGAGCCAACGCTATTTCAGTACACTTTTCAAAAAATGGATAGGATATATATCATCAATCATGGAAAAATTCTTGTTGAGTCTACAGCTATATGAAGTAATTATCAATCAACGTTATTGACAGTTGTATATCAAGCCTTGAAAAGGCTATATCTACAACTACTCCGCTTTCAAAATGTAAACATAAGGTAACCACTTTGCAGTGAAATCAGGTTTGAATAGATTTCACAAAAAAAAATAAAGCAATAGTAAAATACAATAGAAATCAATTGTATTTTATTTGTGTATAAAATGAATTGAAGATCCTGGAATTGAGTAAAAAAAAAAGAAGAGTATTTATACATTTGCAACTAGCTTGTAGGATTAGTGATGATAGAGAGCAATAGGTTCTGCTATTGCGATATCTGGCAAATGTTGTTGATGTTTGATTTAAAGTGGTAATCAATGCAAAAGTACTGGCCATAAGGGTCGATTTGAGTATCCTTGATGGGCTTGGATGAGCTATCGTCATAGCATGCTTTAACGTAACCTTGACAGTTTAAGGTGTGATGTTTGTTATTGAAGCGTGGAACCCTTTATCTGGGATACTGTGCAACTATGGCAGCAGGGCATAGTTGTCATATTTGAATATGCTTGTTATTGATTTGATTTTATATGGATAAAGATAACATCTCTTATTACGACCATCATGGGTGTGATTGAATACACTGTGATCAGGAGTGATTCATTCACACGATGTGCGATATAAGCGTGTATCTTTACTTTAGTATGTTTAAATGGTTGTTGATGTACACTTGAGCGCTTTTACTAATAGATCCAAATAGCATGAATTTGAATGAGTGCTATTTGGTGAATTTCGGCTTTCAATCAAGTTGCGTTTGGGTGGCTATTTCATTACACCGTTCATATGTTTAGGAACCGCTCAAGTAGGCATATAATCCTCCTGATAAGAACATCCTACTTCTGAATATAAACGGATTTAAGTTATATTTATTTGGATACCCTTTTTATTACAAACACAAAACTATCATAAATGACAAATTAATAGGAAATCAACTAGTTATTGACCTTCGCTGCTTCAACCTCTCAGCCAATCAAGTCGCTCAAAAACTCCGCTGACCTAAAAAAAATTTTGCGAGGGTTTCCCCCGGTTTTGATGTGAGGCAAAATTTTAAGCTCCGCTATATATATATATATAGCAATATAGCTGTTGCTATCATCAAATTTCCCCCAGGTGCTAGAGCATGCCTTACTTACACCACCTAGCTTTAAATACTGGCATTGAGACCCTCAATCATCACTAAAGTAAGTAGCGATGACCAAGTGGAGGCGGCCTATCTACCTCCTGGTGTCGGATAAAGTCTTGTTGAGCTTCAGGGATAGGCACATCCACACAACGTAAAAAAGGTATGCTTCAAAGAAACATAATAATAATAAAAGAAAGAAAGAACATAATACTATAAGAGTATAGTAGTATATAGGTAAAAAAAAAGAAAAAGAAATGCTCACACGAAGCAAGTCGAAGAAAAGCATAACAAATACAACATCAAAGATGTTTAAAGAAAACTCGTTGCTGTTGCAAGAAAAATGCATACATGAGCAACGCGCATGGTAGTAATAGTCGGATGTAAAGCAATATGGCACAAATACGCACAACTGCAAAAGCAACAGTGGTATTATAAGTTTGCGATACAACATAATGACTAATATTGTTTCATGTAAAGCTACAGAGGAAACACTACCAACAAAAGAAAAAAGAAGAAAAAAGCGCAACAACGCAGACATCATGAATGCGTTATCACGAAAAAGGAAGCAAAAATATAAGCGTTCAAAGAAGTTATATATCATTGCGACCAAAAGAAAGAAGATACTTACCACTTACCACAGCCACAAATTGGCCAAAAGAGTATTATAGGCAAACACCGGAGACAGACCAGAGAACGAGCATGCACCAAATATAGTAGACCGGGAAAGACCATATAAGCAGCAGCAGCAGCAGCAACACCAGCGCCATAGAAAACCTAAAGAACGAGCGCCATCAGCAGAGAGCAGACAAAGACCAAAGAAATTACTTACCACTTATTATCACCACCACAGGTACGCCAGAGGATATGCAATCACCAGAGATAGACGAGAAAACGAGCATACATTACAGATAGCAGACCAGAAAAGACCAGACTAACAGCAGCAGCAAGACCATTAGCAACACCATTAGCAAGACCAACAGCAATACCACCAGCAAGACTATCAGAAAGACCATCAGCAAATACCAGCAGCAATATCAGCACGGTAGAAAAACCGGAAAACGAACGATGCCAGAAACCAGATAAACGCTAAAGAAGCATCTACCAGTCATAATGACCAATGATGAAGCAGACAACAGGGATATCAGAGAAGTAAGGACAGCAGCATCGACGTCAAACAGGCAAAAAAATTATCGAAACCTGATAAATAAATTCAACTAGTACTAGTTCTACGTCTTCCAGTTCTCGTTATCGAATGGTACCTACTATATCCTACTTGAAAGAAGCAGTGTCAAGCACTTTTAACAGTACATGACCGTGTTATCAGAAGCTAGAGTGTTATTTTCAACCAAAAGGGTTCCAAAACCAATATGGTTTGATACTAAACGCGTTTTGCAAAAGGGATAAAAAAAAACGAGTGCATGTAAAATGAGAGAACGCCCTACTCGACGTCACGGCCAGTAGATTTGCTCTCAGCCTTCTGCCGTGGTTTCAGCCGTAACTGCTGCACTTTAATTTGAAATTGTGCAGTGAGTATTTTCGTGTTCAAATTTGACTTGATCTCACATTCTTTAAACGTTTTTGCTAAATTTGATTATGAAAACTGTCGTTGTAATACTTTACTTTCTAATGCATTTATAAAGAGTCAATGAAGGCGCATCGAATGATGTTGATTACATTCAGCTTTCTGACCGAAAATATTGAGCAATTTGCAAAAATATGAAAACAAGATTTCTGCAAAAATATCAAAAGTTAGCATATAAAAGTCTCAAAATAGTAGTTTCTGATGTTGCATTTTATCATTACGATCAATTTGATCTATTATGTACCATAGAAAAAACCTTCATTTTAGGGGTGAAAAACGCGATCGTTTAATTTTCAGGAATTCTCCCTTGCTAATACTCGTGTAAAAATGAGGATTTTCATGAATTTGCGATGACCCAAAAAAAATTTGAGATAAAGCATCAGTAAATAAGGCGTATCAAAGGAGAGTCTTTCGGTGCTATTCCAAGCATCCACATGGCTTTGTAGCATGAGTTTTACATGCTTGAAACTGGTCGGATTTGAACAGAATTCGACCTAAAACGAAGGGGAAGTAGGCTACGTTGCCAAAATAGTAAGTAAATCATACTTCTGTCTAATAGCCCAGATGCTCGGCATTGTATTAAACTCAATCTCTAAGTAATAAACGCTTTTATTTCAATTCCAAAGCTCTGATCTTACTTTTTGAAAAGTTCGATTACAGTGTGTAATGAAATAGCCACCCAAACGCAACTTAATTGAAAACCAAAGTTCATCAAATAGCACTCATTCAAATTCATGCTATTTGGATCTATTAATGAAAGCGCTCAAGTGTACATCAAAAACCCATTTAAAAGTACTAAAGTAAAGATACACGCTTATATCGCACATCGTGTGAATGAATCACTCCTGATCACAGTGTATTCAATCACACCCATGATGGTCGTAATAGGTGATGGTATCTTTATCCAAATAGAATTAAATCAATAACAAGCATATTCAAATATGACAACTATGCCCTGCTGCCATAGTTGCACAATATCCCAGATAAAGGATTCCATGCTTCAATAACAAACATCACACTTTAAACCATCAAGGTTACATTAAATCATGCTATGACGATAGCTCACCCAAGCCCATCAAGGTTACTCAAATCGACCCTTATGGCCAGTGCTCCTGCATTGACTACCACTTTAAATCAAACATCAACAACATTTGCCAGATATCGCAATAGCAGCACCTATTGCTCTCTATCATCACTAATCCTACAAGCCAGATGCAAATGTATAAATACTCTTCTTTTTTTTACTCAATTCCAGGATCTTCAGTTCATTTTATACACAAAATAAAATACAGTTGATTTCTATTGTATTTTACCTTTGCTTTATTTTTTTTGTGAAATCTATTTAAACCTGATTTCACTGCATTTTTTACAATATTCAAACTATATTTTATTAAACAAACCTTATCACAATGTCTGACAATACCAACAACTCTGGCTCTCCTTCTGTCCCCTCTGCTCAAGGTTC